AACTGCGCATACTGATGATTTTTTTGTTTTTTATTTCATTCATTCATATAAATAGCTATACATTATTAGAACAAATTAAACAAATATGCATTGTCCTAATTACCCCACTATACATGACATGCAGTACCTGTACTCTAAACTGTTTTTACCCTAACATGAAAAGCAAAGCTACACAAAATGTCAATAAGAATTGAATGAAAATGAATTTATTTTCCCAAATTTTGTCCTAACTTAGAAGATTGTGAATCTCATTTATTAATTAAATACCTTAGCAAGCTACATGTACATGATAGGTAAATGATGTATAATGAAGAAGAAAACAAATAAAATTCAACCTACCTTACCTATTTAAAAGTTCATAATATGGGAACCATATAATGCTAGTCTATGAATTGTCTTTCAAATAAAACAAAATGTATGTACTGTCATGCGAAACTGTCAAATTATATTCTGTTAGGTTTAACAATGCAATGATGTATATCATAATCTTTCCAGGCTCAATTTGATGATGTTCGATGTAAATGTGTGTGTCCACAGGATCCTGCAAACAATCTGACTAGAAACATCTATATCAAGAATGTAATCCCAGAACAATGGTAAGTATGAATTGTATTTATGGTCTTCTCTGCATCTTAAGACAAAAGCATTACCATACTTCCCTGATCATAACCCCAGGGGGCTCAACTCGTAATAGTTGAGAAAGTGAAGGGTGGGCATATGCCCCATATACCCAAAGAAATGGTAGAAATTTCTTTTCTTTTCTTTTTAAAATTGTAACCATGTTATCCATATGACAATTTTGCTTCACTATGTGCCAGATTATTACATCATTTTGGGAAAAATAAAAATGCAGAATGAGATGTGTCAGCAATGATATTTATAATGAAAAAACAAAAATGTTCACAAAAAATAACACATTTTGTTATAATATTATTTACAAACCATGTGAATTTTGAGTTTGTCAGAAAAGTCGAAGACAAGATCTTCATCATTGTCTTCGTTGATAGTCTGTTATTAACTAATTAGAATGCTGTGTTGTACTGATGATGGCATTTTTTGGATTCATCGTTAGTACCGAATTCTACCGTAAATTCGCTCAGACCGTTAAATGGCAGTTCGAGTTATTACAAAATAAAATGGAACCAAGAAACCGCCCAGGGCGATTTTTCGTCAGTTTTTAAGGTGTTATTTTAATCTCTTCTGAAGCCTAAAAGTTTCGTCGTCGTCATTGACACCTATTCAAGAGTATTGATGTTTATTGCGACTAGCGTGAATGGGTTAGCTTTGTTTCGACAATGAGCTGTTATCACCGTAAATAATGTTAAATTATTCTTCAAATGCTCAGTTTATCTTTTGAAAACAACTAATTTTTTTATTGAAAAACAAATCATGCCGCTTTCCCATCAAAACCCAACCCAAAAGATCATACAACAACATCTGCAAATCTCTTCTGTGCTGCGTTTAATTAATAACATTAACATATTTAAATGAGCTATGGTAATTTGAACACGTTGGCATCTTCCATCGTTTTCATTGGTTAATTATTGATTTGACCTGTCAGGTCAAAACATGGCGGATATTTATTTCTACAGCATTGAGCGCTGAAAATGCGTTCGGAATCATTTGCTTACGATAAAATAAGTTGAAATTTATTTGCATTTCATAACAATTCAACAAATTTATTTTTTGCACGTTATTACTAGCAAATAATCAACAATTGTAAAATGCAGCATGACCGGATTGCGCTACCATGATCATTTGCTACTAAGCAATGCAATTCACTACGTTCAATTACCCACCATAGACTCCGGTCAGTCAAAATGACTATTTTGAACTGTAGGCATTAATCAGCGATTCTGCCGGTGACGGAGAGATAGAATCTAGGTCAGGGGAAGCCCCATGACCTCAAGATTCTTTTACTCCTTACGTCACGAACCCATGTGACCGAGGCCACATGGCAGCGCCATAGGTGGCCGTCAATCACTCTGATTTTTTCTCCGCCTCGAGTGGAGATGAAATCTAGCAAGCTGAGTTCTGAGGCCTGAGATTTTCTTTCAGAGCCATCAAAATCGCTGAGACTGACCGCGTCTCAGCAAGGTCGCGTGTCCAGTAAACAAATCGGTTAAAGTGAGTTGCGTGTTTTGCATGAGTGGAAAGTCCTCACGCTCGGCTACCGGTACTTTGTGTACCACGACGTTGAATAAGAGGCCTGACGGTGGAGGTACCGATATTTTTCTCGGCCTCCCTCGCTGATCGGAGGGCATCCTCACAGTCTGTTTTTCCAGGCGGTGTTTTACCCGATTTTACCGGCTGCAGCGAGGCTGTGCCCCTGGAGGCTTTCCCCCTATGGGGCCCGTTGCGGGTCTCTTTGTGGACTCTTCCTCGCACGGCGCCGTGTTTGTCTCCGAGTTGAGGGATTTGGTCGAAGGACTGTCGGGGCAATTGCGTCCCTGGCAGGCCGGGTAGATCAGACGCAGTCGGAGCGAGCTGTCTCCACTGTGTCCCCTCTGTGGGCAAGCAGGAAGAGACACAAAAGCATGTTTGCATTCAAACACGTCTCTTCCGGGGAACCCCCGTTCCCAGTCACGGCTCTCCCACTATTTTGGAGGGAGGCAGAGGCTCAGGCTAATTGCACCGGGCCTTCTCTGGAGCCTTGGGCACTGAATGCCAACAGGGTGCTGGCAGCCAAGCCTCAGATCTCGGGGCAGGGCTTTCAGGGCAGGGCACATGTTGACCCCCCCCCCACTTTCAGCCAGCTAGGGCTCGTCACGCGGTAACGGTACAACGGTAACGAATTTATCCTTGTGTCCGGTCTCCGCTGTGGGTTTTTGACTCCTTTCTTACCGACCCACGGGCGTCCCTCAGAGTCTTCCATCGGTATGACTCAGTGAGCCACGCTTTTGGGGTGAGGCGGAGTATCATCGATCCCAGTGATACGATGTAAATACCCCTACCCTTCGGCTTGATCCTAAAGCGACCACCTAAGGTTGCTTCAACGCTTATAGGATCACAGGTGTTGGGATCCAAAGCAACCCTGTTGACACGTCTCTTTCTGTCCGTCTGAGTGCGAAGTGGGGCGCAGAGCACGCAAACAGTGTTGATGGGCGGCGTTGGTCAGTCGCGGAGGATGTAATGCTTAAGGCCCCTGGGTGGGGATAACATTATTCAACACTTCCCACTGGACCAAACACTACCCGGTCGGTGTGGTTTCGGGATCAGACCCCATAGCGGAGGATGAGACCGAAACACCCCCACCAGATTCCAAGGCTCCTTCCCCAGACCCCGGTACCACGAATTTGGCAAACTGGGCAAAGGGGGATAGCCACGTTCCATGGGTGTCTTTGCCAATTGAAGACTACCCATCCAACCCTGAGGGCAGAGTTGCTTGAGCGCATTATTATGCGTGCCCAGGACTCTGGAGACCTTGGAGGCAGAACGCACCAGTCTCCTAGACCAGGCGACATTTTTACTGGTGGGCCACCGCACATCTACATGCGACACCCCCTAGTGTCGCTTGGCTCTCTTGGCCGGGGGCACTACTGTGCTATGAGACGCGGCCTTAGAGGCATGTGTTTTCGCAGACAAGCTGAGCCGGGGTACGTCCCCACCTCAGTGATGCAGACTGGACATCCTCCACCCTCTTTGTTCAGGGAATGGTGGGTACAGTCTCGGAGCTTCGGAGTGCAATGAACCAGAGGGTTCAGATTGAATCCGCTAGCCAGTTGGTCCTGG